CTGAGAACTGATAATCCTGAGTGGAATTGCAGGCGAACCTGTCACTTAACTCCACTCTATTGAGGGCTTCAAAACAATCTCCAGACCAGAATTTAAAATACGAAGGCTTTTCCCACTTTGGATGTGGTAAGAGTCCCAAATTGCAACAGTAGCAGCTGCCAGGAAACATTAAAAGACTAAGGTTCTGGCAGAGGACAACCAAAGGACGGGTTTTTGATGCCATTATTGTGCCGTGGTCTAACTACAGGACAGCTCAACTTGTAACTTGCTATACTAGAAAAATGCCTTCTCATTTAAATATAAAGAAGTTCCCAGGAAGGCCCCTGGGCGTCTGGCAGACATCCTGTGCCTGTGTTCTCTGGAGGACCAAGGAAACAGGCCCAAACATGTATAAAAGCTTCACTTACAATATGGTTCCTGACAGAGCTGGCATTTACACATCTGTGGAAAAAGGAGGGCCTTTTAATAGACTGTTCTGAAACAAAGAACTATCTATGTAGGAAGTTTAGACACCTTCACGCCATTCACTGGGTCAAAGCTCTGGACATTCTAGAAGACAATCCAGGAGTTTATACTTGTGAACCTCTGGGTAGGGTCATTCTTAAACAAGACACAATAAATAAAGGTAAACCAGGGAAGAAAGGATGGATAAGATTAAAAATGTCTCTTCATCAAACACTGCAAGAAAATGAAAAGACAGCCACTGACTAGAAGGTACCTGTCACATACATAATGAACAAAAAGCTTTGTTCCTAAAATATACAGAATTTCTGCAAACCAATTTTAAAACCAAAAAAATAACCCAATAGAAAAATGGGTCAAAAGACCCAAACAGACTCTTTCAGGGAAACAATCACAAATGGTTAACAAGCCTAAGAAAATCTGCACGACTTCATTGACACCCAGGGGAACACTCGTTGAATCATTCATTTCACATTGACTGGGTTAGCAAAAAGTTTCACGTTGATATTACTAAATGCTCATGACCACATGGAGGATCCAGATCTCACATGCTACTGTAAAGAATATAAATAAATAAAAATAATTTGGAAAATAATTTAGCATTACCTATTAGAACTTAATTTTCATATACTCTACAACCCCGCAATTCAACACCTATGTATGTATCCGGTGTTCTACATGAGCCTCAGATACTCTAAATGAACACAGAGGTCATTAATAACAACTTTCATGCAAGAGTCCATAAACAGGACGTTGCAGAAGTATGCCAGGATGCAATTACACAACACAGGCTTGACAGCCCCAGCACAGAGAGAGAACAACAGCTATCCACACCATGTGGATAAAATTTAGAGACAAGACACTGAATGAAAAACACAATTTTCAGAAGAACAATAAAGCCTAATTCCACTCACATGAGACCCCAAAGCATACAAACTAAATAAAGTATTGTTTAGCATAAAATTATGTTTAAAAAGTCAGATAAGGATAAAGAATTCAGGACTGTGGTTTTCTTCGATGAAGACTGTAGGAACAGATGGAGGCTATAGGAACCCTATAGGATTAATGGCAATGCTTCATTTTTGGGACACAGAATTTCTGTGCATATGTATGTTCTGTATTTCACCCTTATTTTACAAATATTCTTTTCTTTACTTATTTATTATTCCATGAAACAATTAAAATGAATTTTATATGAAATGAAAAGACAAAGGTAAAAATTACCCTACATAATCAGAACATGTCAGGTAAAGAGAGTAAAAACATGGCTCAAGTTTGCATGGATCTTCTGAAGCTGGTCTTACCCTGAGTCCCTCAAACCTATATCCTTTTGTCTGAATCAGCAGGGTACCACTATCACCTTGCACCATTTCTAAGACTCTAACACACATTTGTAATTGGGGTCTATCACTGCTCCAGTGCCATCAGACCCTTTTCCTTCTACCCAGAAGCCAGTTTCAATGCTAAGAAACTTTCTTCTTCATAAGTAACATTTGTTCAGTGTAGAAGACAGTAGAATAAAATGATCCATTATTAATTAAAGTTGACATTAATCACACTATCTAAGAAGAGTAATCACTTTGGTTATTCCTTTCTTATATTTCTTCCATGTATAGATACACTGTCTTGTGTACTTGTAGAGCATGACTTATTTATTCAATGGGATATCATAAATATCTTTTCATGTCTAAAAGCACATATCTATGTTTATATATTTTTGATAACTGTATTTTGCTGCACTGATGATTGATGATTTATTTTGTTTCTGGGAAGCTGCAGTGAATATCTCCTAGCTAAATTATTAGTCAAAACATAGATGATTTACTATACATCAGACTATTCAGTCAAAGGGCAAGGACATTTTTAAACCTATTTTCAAATTATCCCCAGAGAGTATACATCAATATTATGCAAATACCAGAAACCTATGAAAATACAGACTTAGGAGAATATAGAGAAGACTCTTACCACAACAATGCAACTACAGACTATTGGGTGGAAATATTTTATTAATTTATCCAGTAAATATGCTTATATGTAGTCAATGTATTTTTAGCTAATATTTTACGATACTGTCTAAACCAGGAATCAGAAGAAATTCCAAGCACAGGTACAAGAAAAGATGCAGAAGGTAAGCTCTCCCCTACACTAGGGGTTAGAAGAGAGCAATGGTGGTAGAAAGTACAAGGCACTGTAGTCTTCTCCCCAACTCATCCTGGCCCCGGGGACTTACAAATATTGCTCAAATTTAACAGGAACCCAACTACTCAATCTTCCTTTATTTTCATAGTCTGAGAAGACACTGGTCAGAGAACTGGTCAGAGAGCTCCAAGAGATTAGACTTTTCAAGACCTAAAATATCTTTACTATCGTCCTATATTCTAGAAAGAAAGTCCAAATCTTATGTAATGTATAGTTGAATTGGGAAACTTCTAGTGAAGATAGGGAGAGGCAGACCCAATACCCAGCATTAATGATAAAGTGAGATATTCTGTACTGGACTCTGGCCCCGCTCTTCAGAGACCTCATAACTCTTTCAGAGTCTCACTGCCAGAAACTCCTCATTCAAGAAAACTGCCCCGAGACCAGGTTGCTAGCTAGTCCAGGTCCAAGGTTCCTCTCTTCTTTTTTCCATTTGTGCATCTATTTCCCTGCCACATCCTATCCCACTGGGTGTTTCTGGAGTTGAACAGTTCAGCACAAGGTGCCACATTAACACAAACAAAATGCAAACAAGACCTGGTGTGTTCAGCAGAGCATGTTCCACTCTCTGGGTCAGGAAAGCAGCAATCAAGTTATGAAGTCAAAGGATAATTACAGAATCAAGGAGTAGATAAAAATAGGAGTTAAATTTTTTTAAAAAGAGGGGATGATTTACCAGTTAAACTGAATCAAAATCAGGAGAGAAAGAAAAAGAAAAAAGGAAATGATAAAAGATACCAAGTAACAGATGATGAGAGAATCGACTATAAAATTATAAGATTACCTGTTACCATAGAAGCAGATATTAAAGATTAAAAACATACATTTTGATGAAAGCAGTTACCATTGGGCAAATCCACTCAAGAATCACAATTTTTAGCAACTATCAGTACATTTTGAGCCAAAGGTGTCAACTGTGCCCCTCTCTTTGACACAGAGCAAAGAGGGCTATAGTGGGAGTTGAGAGAACTGGAATTCTAGTTGTAGTTTAGCCCCTAGCTAGCAAACTACATTTGACCTTGATTATTTTATCTGTAAAATGGACACCTATAGGATTGTTGCTAAGATTCAATGCCACTTGCTTCCTTGGTAAGAAGTTGTTACCCCTGCAGCAGAGACTGAGGTTACAGGCCCCAGCCAGAGGTCTGGATGGAGGAGGGAAGAGAATCTCCCAACAATAAGAGCCAAAGCAAGGCTGAATCTGCTTGGAGGGTCAGCTGGGCCTAAACTCAGCTAAAGGAGATACGATCACAAGTAATGGGTATAGAAAAACATCAGCATCGGAGACTATCACCTTCCCTGTGACTAAAGAACCATAAACAAATGTGAAGCACTGTATGGGTCACATGAGTCCTTCCTGATATACAGTCTCTCCTTGGACTAGGACAAAGGAAAAGGGGAGCTATCTAGAAAAGGAGAAGACTGACCCAGATGGTAACCGTTTATTGAGAAGTTGGGAATTATTTATAGGGGCTTTTAAAAATGACTGCATTGGAATGGACTAAGCCTAATATTATTCTCTCACTGCCCAAAACCTAGGAGCTCAAACTTAAATCAGGTATGGGTTTAAAAAAATACTGAGCACATGTATGTATGGGCACCAAGATGTAATGTGAATGAAGTCTGCAACTATGATAAGGAGGATTTTGCACTTAAGGACTGCCATTTTACTCTTTTATAAGCAAAATTATACATAAATAATATGTTTAATAATGGTAACAAAGAATCATAGGCCTGATTCTAGTGCAGAAATTGCACTACTCTATTG